TTTGAAAGCCACCCGCCCTCGGTCCGTGAACCCGTTGCGCATTTCAAGCTCCAGGATCTCAATTGGCGAGGGAGTCTCGGGCGAAACAAAACGCCCTGCTCGCCCCACTCACACGTCTGGGGTGCTACACAGGGAGGAGTTGCTCCTAAGTGATGGAGGTGGGAGGTGGGAGGTGGGAGGAGGAGGAGGAGGAGGAGGAGGAGGAGGGAGGAGGAGGAGGAGGAGGAGGAGAGGAGGAGGAGGAGGAGGAGGGGAGGAGGAACAGGAAAGGAAGGAGGAGGAGGAGGAGGAGGCGGAGGAGGAGGAGGAGGAGGAGGAGGAGGAGGAGGAGGAGGAGGAAAAGGAGGTGGGATATCACCAGGAGATCACCACTGATGACCAGTGTCCTTGCCTTGCCAGAACGAGATGTGCAACCCACATCACAGCAGAGATCGGGCCACTTCAGGCGCCCCCTGGGGGAACGGGTGCAGGCCCTTAGAAATTCGCACAAGGTTACACCGTCCCTTCTTGGAACGCGCCGCTCCCGTGACGGCGGGCCCGCAAGGACGCGAGAGGTGGCGTCCGTCGAGGGTCGCAGTGAAACCGCACAGCATACAAAATTTCAGAGTCATGTGATCCCAGGACCAAATCTGATGGCTGGGGTCAACCATTCGGCCCCCCCACCCACACCGTCCCCGACTCCCGCCGAATGGTGACCCCAGACATATTGGGGGTGGTGGCGGAGGAGGAGGAGGAGATGGGAGGGGGGCGGCACGGCCTCCTCGCGGCCGCCTCCAGGGCGGTGGTGGTGGCGACCTCGCCACAAGTGGAGCACCTCCACCTACCACCAGCGCGCTGGGAGGCGTGGGCGGAGTCCCGCAGAACCTGTACTCTGCGGGAGATTCGCTGGCGCGGCACGGCAGGGCCCGCCCACTCTCCTTCCCACGGATCAACAGCAGCAGTGTCCTGGAGGGCCTGGGACGCACGACGTCGGACGAGCCAAGCGAACACATCAAACTCGTCCGTCCTCGGCACTTCCTTGGACTCGGTGGCTAACTGGAAACCGCGGGCAGCAGCATCGCTAGCGAGGTCATCAGCCACGGCGTTTCCAAAAGACAGGAAGGCCTGCCAACGGGTGCGGATGCCCCCTTCCTCATCCTCAAGATGTGAGGGGGTCCAAAATACACGGACAGGGTGGGGCCTCCGAGCGTGCGCCTGACGGATCTTCACCCAAAGGTTTGCATCCTGCTCCTTAGGAGCCTTCCGAACACCCCTACCCATCTGCCAGGCTCTATACAGGGGGAGGTGATCGGTGATAAAATCGAGGGGACCATGGGTTAACTCCAGGGCCAAACAAAAAGCGAGCAACTCCGCTCGCGGGACCGTCTGTCTGGGGCCCACGAGAGGCGCAGAGGCCGCCCAAACAGTACTCCACGAGAGATCGGCGACGGGGTCCGCCTGGAGAATGACAACTCCCGCCCCGCACCGCCGACGCCGCGGGTCACTGGAGTACTCACCTCCAGATCCATCTCCAAACACGATGAGGGGGCCCTGGAGGGGATCCGAAACAGCAGCACTGGGGTTCCCCATAAGAAGCAACCCTTTCTCAAGCACAGAGTCCTCCGAAAACTCAGGCACCACCTGCTTCTCGGGGGGAACCCCTCGGAGCCAAAGGCTGGGCTCGCTCTCGTGGGAGGCCACGGCACGGGCAATGAGGCGGTCACTTTTCCTGTACGCATCATGATCACAGTTGGCTGGACACAGCCATGCACGGTGCAGGAGCGTCTCGGGCTCCCGCCCACAACGTCTGCACAGCGGCTCCGTGGCGTAGCCCTGTGCACGTTGTCGTTCACGAGTCCACTGGCCTCCAGACACCACTGTCAACGTGAGGCCCCAGTTCTCCATGTTCTGCTTGCGTTCGTACTTGTCAAGCTCACGCTTGATCTGAGAGAAATCAGCTCCATGTTGTAGGTCATCTGCTCCCTCAAATTGACTGGCCTTCCTCCAAAGCTGGTGTCGGAGGTCTGCCGTGAATTCATGTAACATATCGTGAAGATCGACTTGCTGGTACTGAGGTGTGCCCGCTCTGGGGAAGATCCATTCAATGCCAGCAATAGTCCGAGTCCAAACTTCTGGTTGCTTGCATTCCCAACCTGCATCGACCAATGTGGCAATAACTGCAGCAACTGGGCCACGAACTCTCTGCCATCTAGCCTTGCCATCGACCACTACAGCATTGTGGATGCGCAACCATGCCCAACGAATGGGATTGTGGTATTGTGGATTGTCAAACCAGAGACGAAGCCATGCCTCCAAGACTTGACGAGGTAGTTCGAGTCCTGGGTCCCGCTGAGCAAGGGTCGCTTAAGCACCGAAGTCAGGCATCTGCCTCGCTTGGCACCTGCAATGGCCGACCCTGCCTGGCGCCTGACCTCCAACATCGTGCTGGGAGGCGTGCCAAGAACTTGATGGCCGTAGCAACCCTGTGGTAAAACTCCCGTGCTCCAGAGTGATCTGCAGACTCTGCGAACTTTGGGTCCGAGACGACGGAGGCGAAGAACTTTACCATGCCGCCGACGAGCTGCTGCCAAACGTTGGTTAGCCTTCCTCTTTACTCTCCCGCGCCCAGCACTGACATCAACGCCCAGGTCCGTGGCCGCCAGCTTGCAGGATACTGGGATGCCAAGTCGCCTCATAATCCTGGCCATGCGGAGGCCCAAGGACTTGGACGACGCAATGAGATCAGTTTTGTCCGAGGCTACCAGCCTGTACTCCAAGAAGGCCGCTCTGAACTCAGCTGCAGCCTCAGTCATATTGGCAATAACGATCTCTTCATCATCATTCTCATCGCGTGCCACAGTGTCATCAATGTAGGTGGCCAGCATAGGCTGTGGGGCGACCTTGTGCACCCTCTCTAGGATGGGGTGGAGAAAGACCTTGGCGAGTTGAACCCCTTTGGGGCTGTCTGCCACCAATGATCGGGTGACGATCAGGAGGTCACTCGCCCACTGCTTGAGCTTGAGGATCCTTGGGGCGATACACATCTGCACCTCCATGAGGACCACAATGGCAGGATATCCCACCTTGATGGCTGTGCGCATAAGGATGCACAGCGATACACTATCGTAGAACTTCTCCATGTCTAGGAGGAGGGTCAGGAAATGCTTCTTGTTGACCATCCCCACTTCGTCGAGGAGAGATCGAAGCATGGCGGCCCGAAGGGCCGAGGGCCCCGCCAGCGCCGTGTCCCAGAAGTCGCTGAGCCCCGTGGACCATTCTGCAGCTGGTCCAACCCGAGTCTGACTCCAAACCTTTCCAGTGGTGGGGAGGAGCCCCAATACTCTATCTCCGCCTCTGGGCTTGGCTGCGAGTGCCCCAATCGCGCATGGATCTGCCTCTGCCATGAGCCTACAGCTTCCGCACGATTGAGGATGTACACTAGCATCTGCTTGCCTGACACGGGTAGCCTGGCAATATCGTTCACGCTGATGTTATCAACACCCTTGGCCTTGTTGGCCGACGTACGAGCTAGTGCATTCTCCAGCTCCTCTAGTGTGATGGGGTCGATGTTCTGCTTCTTCGCCATCCGCAGCGTCTGACCGATCTCGTAGACGATGTCTTCCATGGTGTCAACTTTGTCCGTCCAGACATTCTGCCAGTGCTTGTGGCGGCTGTTCATGATGAGAGCAGGGTCAGCCATGCCTTCAACTTCCGTGGTGTCAGCCTGGGGGTCCTTCGCATGACGGTGTAAGATCCCAGGCTTCTTGGACCGCGTTTCTCGTATCCACTTCATGAAGCTGTGTTGGCCCTTGGCAAAGGCCCGTGCTTGAGCTCGTCTCTCCAGGGTCTCCGTGCGGTCGTTAACCTTGTCCAAGAAGTCGAGGGACAGGGTTGCTTGTGACGGTTGTGCTGGGCCAACTTCAGGTGGAACTTCTGCTGGTTCCAGGTCGGCAGGGGAGCCAACTTCCTCCTCGTGTTCAATCTGGGCGAACACGTCATCTTCATCATCCATATTAGTGCGACGAACCATCCCGCTGCTGCCGTCGATGTCCTTGCGCCGCAGGTGGCCTCGCTCCCTGCGGCATTCGCCTGGCCTCCCAACTGTCCCCACTCTGCTCCCTTACTACCGCCCCTTGCGGGGTTGGTGGGCTCGCATTGTGGGTCCAGGGGCTCTGTAGGGGGGGACCTGCAGCAATGAGGCCGAAGTAGACGAGGAAGCCGTCGCTGTTGTGAGTCCGCGGGGACAGCCCCCGACTCCGTGCACGTCTTCCAGCGTGCACATATCAACATTATGCCGCATCTGCATCTGTGGAGAGCCTTCTCGCACCTCCCCCTCACGCTGGCCAGGCAGGTCTTCATCATCATGAATAGACGCCCAAGGTGTTCCCTGAGGCTCGCCAGGACGACGCCCACCATGACAATCTTCACTACCTTGGGGGGCCAGAAGAACTTGAGGCGTATCATCGCCACGTGGGGAAGTAGATGGCCTGGGTCCGCGGGGGAAGCCCCCGACCCGTGCGCCTCATCCAGGGCACGCATACGTCTCGAAGCCGAAGAGGACGAGTAGCAGCCGATGCCGTCCCTGTGGGTCCGCGGGAGCAGTCCCCGACCCCGTGTGCGTCCCCCAGCGCACACATCTCTCGCGAGGCCGAAGTAGATGGAGTAGCTGCCGATGCCGTCCCTGTGGGTCCGTGGGAGCAGTCCCCGTGCCCCGCATGCCTCTACCAGGCCACGCATACCTCTCGAAGCCGCCGAGGTTGGAGTAGCAGCCGTCGGAGTTCCTGTGGGCCCGCGGGGGAAGCCCCCGACCCAGTGTGCCTCTACCAGGGCACACGTAGTCGAAGCCTTCGACGATGGAGTAGCCGTAGCCGTAGCACTTGTGGGTCCACGGGGGAAGCCCCTGACCCCGTGCGCCTCACCCAGGACACACATATCTGGAGATGCCGAAGCCGCACCTTCCTGAGCGAAGGGAGTGCCAGAGACTGGCCAGCACTGGAAGGGTGGAGTGCGGCTGATGAGCTTCAGATGCCTGGGTCGAGGTCGGAGTGGTCTGGCGGCGGGACCTCGCTGGCCTTCTTCAGGGCCATCACTGCGAAGTACTCAGCCTGGATCTGCGACTGGTCCACGTTGCAAAGCCTGCTGTACATCTCAGTCCATTCTTCGCGATCAGCATCACTGTTCTTGCCGAAGTACTGCAGCGGCGTGCCCTTGAGAATGTCTGCACCAATCTCTTTCAGCCGCCTGAGGATATCATCCTGCTGCGCTGGGTTCAGACCTTTGGCGACCAGCTTGCGCAGGCGTGAGACCAAGGTCGCCATCACGCCCCATAACTCAGCAGGCTTATCTTCCACATGAACTCGTCCTGGGGTTGACTTTGATACTTCCCATTGGAGTTGGAAGCCGTTGCGTCTGCCCGTGCAATGTCGCTGGGGCGCTGGCTCAACAGAGAGGATAGTTTCCTCTAAAGCTGTGACCCATCTCGCATAATGCCAATCAATCTGGTGCTGTCCCTCCTCGTCTCGAGCCAGCGCCTGAGTGACTGGGATGGGGTGGGAGGCGAAATCAAGTCCATCCGTCAATAGAGCATCCGCCTGAGCAAGTCCAACAGTCCAATTGTCCTCAGGGATGTGGAACTGTGGTTGGGTTGGTTCTTGGGCGTCCTGCTCGTGACTCATCTCGATAAACGCATCCTGCAGTTGCTCTGGGAGTGCTTCAGCTCGCCGTTGAGTCTGCTTTCTCTTCTGCTTGCTACGCTTGCTGTCGGCCTGGGCCTGCAGCTTTGGCTTGGAGTATGCGGGCAACGTGGGGGCCAACTCAATGCTGCGGTGCCACCACTTGCTGCTGAAACCCGCCATCGTTATCTCCAGTCCAGAATGTGGCCTCCAAGGAACTGTCAGTACCGCCTGAATATTGACAAAGTCCTGGTATCCATCCTTTACTAACGCATAGTCGTACATGCCTCCCTTGGCGCCCTGGTCGCAGGTGAAGTCCACGTTTCCAGCCGTGACGATGTGTCCCTGCATCTTGCTGGGCCACTTAGTGTTGGTGAACGCCGCTGGCGACATGTCCCAGTCTCCGAGGACGATCCACGGGTCTCTGATCTTGAAAAGAAAGGCCGACAAGGCCTTGAGGGTATCTGCATTTCTGCGCTGGACTCCCATGCCTGGAGGGAGGTACGTTGAGACTACCACCAAGTTGCCAGATTGCAGGTGCCATACAATGGGAACGAAACCTCTGAAAGGGTCTTTGTGGCCCATGGCCATCACGTCCGTGCGCAGCTTGTCCATCGTCGTGGTGGCGACGAAATTACGAGCCAATATCCATTCGCTAGCGGAGTAGCCTTCATGCTTCTTCACTGCTGGTGTGGCTGCCAACTTCCAGCCATCCTTCCGTAGTGTCTCGCGCTCCAGGGGGATGCGCGCCTTCTCGATGTGGGTCTCCGCTAGGGCGACCACCTTGTAGTGGTTGCGAATCTTGTGAATGTACCTGGAGGCTTTGGGCCCCCATTGGGTGACGTTGCCGAAGAACAACGTCACCTGTGCCTCGTCACCCCCGCGACGGCAGGCCGCTGGGTGCAGCAGCGCCATCAGCAGCAGCAGGAGCAGCTTCAGGGGGTGGATGACCGACCGCCTGCCTGAGGCCCTCCTTGGCGGCGGTGAGGGTGGCGGGCTTTCCCGTCTGCTTCGCCGCAGCCGCTGCCTCCTTGGCCTTCTGGGAAATGGCCTCACGAGCAGCGGTGGCCTGCTCCTCCGCGAGGAGGGCGGCCGTGCGCTCGGCCGCCGACAGTGCCGCAGGCGCCGCTGTGCCTCCGCCTTTGGCTGGCGGGCACGCTGGCACCTTGGCAGGCGCCGCCTTGACGGGAGGCGGCACGATGGGCGGCGCTGGCGCCGTCGGCGGGGCCTGCTTGGCTGGCGGGTCAGCACGCGCCGCAGGCGCCGCACCATGCACTGCACCCTCAGGGGTGCGCCTCTTCTTGTTGGCGGGCTCCTCCACGGCCGCCTTGATACTCTTGAGGAGCTCCTCGAAGCGTTTCTGGCCCGCTTGAAGCTCCTGCTCGTGGCGGGCGACTTCCGCCTGCCACTGGCGTAGTGACTCCTGCGCGGAGTCCTCGTACTCGTCAATGTTCTCGAAGAGGGCGGAGTCCACCTCAAAGAACACTGCAGCTGAATCCTTGGGTTCAGGGCGCCTGGACGTCGGGTCCAAGCGCCAGTAGTCGTCGTGCGCCTTCCCTGGCAGAACTTGGGTAGCCCTTTGCGTGCGCGCGATCGTTTGTTGAATGAAACCCCTGGCTGTCGCCGATCAGCCATGGAGCAACGGCGCGGCTCGCGGCGTTCCGGAGCGGCGGGCCGGCCGACGCCCGCGAGGGGCGCGCCCGACGCAGACATCCGACGCCGTGGCAAAATCAATGCGACGGGTTTTGACGTCATTGGCCTCGGGAGGCCGTTTCGAAAATTGGGGCCGCGGGATCCCGCAAGAATGAGTGAAGACGAAATCAGGCCGTAGGGTACTTGCGGGGGCCTCCGGATCCTCTTGTGGAGCAGTCATGACATCGGATGTCTGGGAACGGCGCCCCTCTGCCAGCCATGGGTGCGAGTCGGAAGCGCGGGTCACAGGGGGCAGCTGGATGGGGCAAGGCTGATGCTGCACAGTTCGAGTGTCATATCGGTGCGTCTGTGCATGTGTGTTTCCTTCCCCCCGATTGTGTCTTGTGTGTGCGTGTGTGTGTGTGTGTGGTCTGTGTGTGCGTGTGCGTGTGCGTGTGTGTGTGTGTGTGTGTGTGTGTGTGTGCGCCGTGCGCGCGTGTGTGTGTGTGTGTGTGCGTGTGCGTGTGTGTGTGTGGTGTGTGTGTGTTGGTCCATGTGGTGTGTGTGTGTGTGTGTGGTGTTGTGTGTTGTGTGTGTGTGTGTGTGTGTGCGGGTGTGTGTGTGTTATATGAGTTTGATTATTATGTGTTGTGGTGTGTGTGTGTGTGGTGGGTGTGCTGTTTGCGTGTGTGTGTGTGTGTGCGTGTGTGTGCATGTGTGTAGCGTTTGGCCCCAGCTGAACCCGTCCCTGCACGCTACCACGCGAGCTCCTCCAGGGCCATGGCTGACTCCGCCGGGCTCTTCCAGTTCGCTACTGCCGCCGACGCCGGCAATGACAAGAAGCGCGTCGCTGCCGGCGACGGGGTCGAGCCAAAACGGCAGATGCTGCGGAGGTACGACCACGTGGCAGCACAGGTGTTCAACCCGCACGCCGCGTCCGGGTTGAACCACGCTTCCACGGAGGAAGTGTGGAAGCGGGCCAGCCCAGGCGACAAAAAGAAAAAAAAAAAACAAAAAAACTAATAAAAAAGATTGCGCAGTTTGCTTCACGGAGCTGGCGGAAGAGACCCGGTAATAGCGCCGAGGGGAATCGGCATCTCGAGGACGGCGGAGGTCCTCAAGGTGGCGCGTTTGTGGATCAAGGACGAGAAGGCCAAGAAAATCTTCAACGCGGACATATTGAATCTGGTTCTTGGTGTTAACACTCCACGGTCGTACCCCCCGACCGGGGGTGCGGGTGCGTCGGGGCATCCAGGGCGCACTCGAGAGTGGGGGTGTGGCTGCGCGGCAGGATCCGAGCCTCAGATTGGTTGCCGGAAGGGCCGCGCCGCGAGGGCGAGCAGGTTGAGCGCGGGATCGATCGGGTCGGTCGCACGACGATACGGACCACGTAGGACGAAGATTACCGTCTTCCTTGGCGGACCTGGACCAGGGAGCTTTCCCGCGAGAGGGCGGCTGGAGTTCGCCGAGGAGGACTTGGCGCCGCGGAAATCTGAATATTTCCGTCCGCCTCTTCCTCAGCCACGGTCCCCTGAGGAATCCGACGCGTGACGACACACGGCGCGACGTCTGAACGCCCATATATTCTTATGCGGCTGCTTCCGTGTTTTGGTAAGGTGGATCTCGTTTTTTTGTCTCACTCCCCGATACCCGTGAGGGTGGTCGAGCCGGCGCGTGCTCCAGGTCCGACTGTGGGGCCGTGCTGACGCCGTACGCGCTTTTTTTTTTTCTTTTTTTGTTTTTTTTTTTTTTTTTTTCTGTTTTTTTTTTTTTTTTTTTTTTTTTATTTTTTTTTGTTTTTTTTTTTTTTATGTTTTTTTTTTTTTTTTATCTTTTTATTTTTTTTTGGCTTGACGTGATCGATTGGAATGGTGAGCGCGAGAACGCCCCGCGACCTACTATTCCTCCGCGCGCAGGGGCCTGTCTCGCCCACCGCCCCCTGGTCGGAGCGGGCATCCAATGGGGCGACAATTGCAATAGCCTGGGCGGGGGGTTCGAAATGTCCGTCCGTGTCTCCTCCTCTTGGGCACCTCTTGGACCCCTCTGGGGGCCCTCTTCGGTGCCCTTGGGCCGTCTTTCGGGCCCGGGGCGGTCTTGGAGCCCTTGCGCGTGAGGAAACATGTCGAGTGCTGGCCGCATGGTATCATGTGACAGGGAGTCGCGAAACAAGCTCAGGGACGATCTTACAACGAGCGCGGCGCTAACGTAAGAACCCCTTTTTGACAAGGAACTGGCCTCGATCCATGGAGTTGCTGGAAAGTTCGAAGACGAATGTGCGCGGCGCTAAGGCGAGAGCCACTTTTTGAAAAAGGTACCAGCCTCGATCCGTGCAACTGTTGGAAATTTAGAAAACGAATGTGCGCGGCGCTCAGGCGAGAGCCACAGTGTGAAAGGGGACCGGCCTCGATCCGTGTAACCGTTGCAACGTCGATGACGAATGTGCGCGGCGCTAAAGCGAAAACCACATTTTGAAGAGGAACCGGCCTCGATTCTTGTAACTGTTGGAAATTTCGAAGACGCGCGTGCGCGGCGCTAGTGCGAGAGCCACATTTTGAAAAAGAGCCGGCCTCCATCCCTGTAACGGTTGGAAATTTCAAAGACGAATGTGCGCGGCGCTAAGGCGAGAGCCGCAGTTTTGGAACCACCCGCCCTCCATCCTTGTAAGTGTTGGAAATTTCAAAGACGAATGTGCGCGGCGCTAAGGCGAGAGCCACATTTTGAAGAACACCCGCCCTCCATCCTTATAACTGTTGGAAATTTCGAAAGCGAATGTACGCGGCGCTAAAGCGAGAGCCACATTTTGAAAACCACCCCATCCGTGTAACTGTTGCAAATTTGGAGCTTGGCGATCCTAAATTGCAAGGAGGTCTCAGGCGAAACGCCCGGCCCGGGACTGAGATAGGGAGGAGTTATTCATAAGGAGAAGGGATGGAGGAGGAGGAGGAGGAGGAGGAGGAGGAGGAGGAGGAGGAGGACGGAGGGAGGAGGAGGTGGAGGAGGTGTGGAGGCGGAGGAGGAGGACGAGGAGGAAGAGGAGGAGGAGGAGGAGGAGGAGTAGGACGAGGATGTGGAGGAGGAGGAGGGAGGAGGAGGAGGAGGAGGAGGAGGAGGAGGAGGAGGAGACGGATTGGGGAAACGTAGGAGGAGCGCGGGGCCGTGGACGCGCTCGTGACGGAGAGGCGCGGCGTGGGCCCTTTTTCTTATCACTCTTCCCTTCTGGCAGTCCAGCAGCCTCCACAGACACAACTCATGCATGTCAGAGGAGCGTTGGCAATTTGGTGGAACGGACACGACTGGGTGACATCGCGAGCGTGCTAAGCGTGGCACCGGAGGAGGAGGCGGAGGAGGAGGTGGAGGAGGAGGAGGAGGAGGATGAGGAGTAGGAGGAGGACAAAAGGAACAGGAGGAACAAACAAACGAATCACCAACTCTGATTCAGCAGCCTCCACAAGGCAACCCACAAATCGTTGAAAATGCCCAGAACACCCCGACCTGCACCTTCGCAGATACCCCTCCCCTGGATCTCCCGAAGCGTCGGGGAATTTCCCAAAGTCTCGGATGCAAGCCGGGGATTTAGACAGGGTTCGAAGACTAAGAAGAGAAAAAGGACGTGGAGGAGGAGGAGGAGGAGGAGGAGGAAAAGGAGGAGGAGGAGAAAGAGGAGACAGAGGAGAAAGAGGAGGACGAGGAGGAGGAGGAGGAGGAGGACGACGAGTAGGAAAAGGAGGGGGAAGATGAGGAGGATGAGGAAAAGGGCGGCGTCCGACGGACCCTTAGCTTGTCAGCTCGTCAGCTTGTCAGGAGGAAGAGGGAGAGGAGGAGGAAGCGGAGGAGGAGGAGGAGGAGGAGGAGGAGGAGGAGGAGGAGGAGGAGGAGGAGGAGGCTTGCTCGTTTCAGGAGGTGGCGCTTCCTGCCCGCTGGTCGATTTCAGCCGCCTGGCGGAGACCCTAGTCTCCCCTTTTCTCCCAGAGCCTCCGTCGCTCCCAGCCTTCCGTTCCTCCCAGTCCTTTGCCCATCCTTGTCCACTCAAGAATGCACGACCGGGCGCCGCGAGTTGCGCAAATGTTTTGCCAACGTGTGCCAGGCATGTGCTTGGCATGTGCGGAACCGGGATTTTCGGGCAGCGCCCGCGGGTCCCCATTGGCCCGTCACTGACTTGATTTTTGGCTCGTGGTATTTCTCTTGGCGGGGTTGTCTGGTCGTCTGGGAGGGCGCTCCTGCAAGTTAGATTTCTGTGGACGTATGGCGAGCACGGCCATGTGCGGGCATGGCGGGGCTTTCCTGACCAGCGACCCCGTGGGCATGGATCGTGGAGATGCAGGGGCAGCGTCAACGTTGCCCTGTACAGAGGCGTACAGGTGGGCGTGCACGCAGTGTGCGGCATGTGCGCGGAGAAAGCGCAGAAAGTAAGAAAACGAACGCCACGCGAATCAACCACATAGTGCTGATCCTTGTGCATCCATTGCCGCCGCCTGGGGGATCGATCTTCGGGGTCCTCGGCACGCGGCGGATATGGATACTTTTGGCCCCCCAGGATTCGAGTGCGTCCATGTCCACCGCCTGCAAACGTCCCTTCGGCAGGCGGGGGATCTGGGCACACTCGGGGAGCATGTGTGGCAGCTCGAGGGTGGATCCCCCGGGCGGTGGTCGTCAGCAGGTGGATGAACCGCCTCGCGGGCAGGGGGTCAGCAGCTGGCCTCTCTCCAAGAGGCAGGCCCGAGCGAGCGAAAAACGAACGAGGCAGCACGACGCCGGGACGTCGGCGACGAGGGGTGCCGAGCGATGGGCCCGAAGATGCCGCCACGCGAGGGCCCGAAAAGCCGACGCGCGTGAGGGGGGGAGGGCTGCGCGTGCGGCGTTGGCGAACCGTTGCTCGTTACCGTCGTCTTGTCAGTTCCTGCCCTGCGCCCTTGGATGCGCCAGGCTGCCCCTTTGTCGTCGTGTTTCGTGGCTCGTTTTTTTGTTTTGTTTGTTTTCCCTCTGGGAACATGAACAGGCGGTCA